TTCTGAGGGACCCTCGATTTATTCCTCCTTCTGAATGAAAACTGCTCGAACCTAGGTGGGTAGATTTCAGGAGGAATTATTTCATTCATCATCTTAGGAATCATCCTCGTAAACGGCCTACAAGCCTCCAGCACAGATAACTCACTTTCCTTGGTATGCTGCCCCACGATGCTATCATAGCAATCAATGTGCCCCTTAACCAGGTCCACGTCCAGCGCCAGCCAGTGATTGCCTCCGATTTGGTGAACTATATACAAGTGATCCACATCTTCTATCCATTTCATATTTGTCTGCTGATCTTTTGGCTCCAAACCGTGTACCAGCCTCTCGTAAGCGGTGCCTTTGAATTTAATCCTCTCGGGTTTTATCTTGAACTGGTCATACTCTTTACACCAATAGCTCACGAACCACGAGTCTATAAACGCAATGCGTTTGGTGTGGAATGGGAAGGGAACTCGCGTGATGAACCTCTTTCTAAGAACTCTCAAATACGCAGCAATATGCTGCACACAAAAAAAAAAAGAAAAAAATAACAACTCAGACAAAACATAACAATAACTCAGACATAATGTAGAAAAACATACCAATAATTCAGCCATAATGTTGAAAAACACACTAATAACTCAACCATTATCTAGAAAATCTCAGCCAAAACACACCAACAACTCAGCCACAACACCAACTCTTACAATACCTCAGCCAAAACACACCAATAACTCAGCCAAAACAAACCAATAACTCGGTCACAACACTTACAATAACTCAGCCATAATGTTATACTTACGTCATCGTAAAGCCATCCATATTGTCGATCTGGCCAGTCCTTTCTTTCGGTGATGAGTATTCTGTAGAAATCAACAGTGTCTGTTGCCCTGCCCAATGGGAGATGCCTAACAGATAAACACAAGTTAATATACATAAATAGTGTAAAACAAGCCGTAATTAACAAGGTTAAAAGGTATAGAGGGTCATACTTGAATGGGGCCATCATTTCCTTCAGTTTCTGCAATTTGGCCGGATCAACTGGTGACAGAGGATCATATATTCCAGCTGAAGGCACACAATTCTTCCTCATGCACGTCAGTCCGTTGTCTCCGATATGAGGAAATATCCGTTCAGAGACATTAGAGAGTGGATTCAATGCACTCCCATCCGGAGACAGCTTGACACTCTCCTTCCTTAGAGCGTTGATTCTTTCAATCCTTATAAGTTCCTCTTCATCATCTTCAGACTCAGGTAACGTGCGTTCGTCACCAGCTAGCAACTGGTCTGTGACATCATATACGTCATTGTCACCTTTAATGCCAGCCTTTTCCAATACTTCCTCATCTTTGTCGGGGACATCAGCAGCCTCTTTCTTCTCATCAAGAGCAGCTCCTCCCTCCGCCGGAGCAGTAGCTAGTTTTCGTACCACCTTTTTAACCGTTGTAGAAGAAGGCTTCCTACCTCTTCTACGTCCGACTGCTGCCTGAACTTTGGGGGCCTTATCTTTGGCGGGCTTATCCTTGCCGGTATTCTTCTTTCCCGCTGCGATTTTCTCTGTGTCAATTTTCTTGGAGCGTAATACCCTAGTATTATTAGGTAACGTTTCTATGAAATCAATAGCAGATTTGCCATCAATGACATTAGCAAATTCCTTTTCCAGATTCTTACTGACACCAGCAATACCAATGTCCTTCTCAACATCGACAATATCCTTCGCCTGCATAAACGTACCGATAACTCAGCCATAAGATAAAGATAACTCGGCCGTTAGGTGATTAATATAATAATAACTCAGCCGTAATGTGATTAAGATAATGATAACTCAGCCGTAATATAATGATAACTCAGTCGTAAGGGGAAAACTCAGCCATTATGTGATCAAGATAGTGAAAACTCAGCTACTAGGTTATTAAGATAATAATAACTCAGCCGCAATGTATTTATACATATGTCTGGCACTGTTAGCTTACCAGAGGACTAGTAACAGACTGGTTTTGTGGAGGTTTCGCTGGACCTTTTGGTGTTGCTTTTTCTTTTTGATTCAGCAAAAGGTTGACTTGCGTCGGCTTTTCGGGAGGTTCTGTTTCTTTGAAGGCTGAGTTTTCCTCACCGTTTTCACCAGATTTCCCTACCCCCTGCTCAATTGCATTCAGACGCTCTTTCATCTGTTTCAACTCCTTCTCCATATATTCAAACTTTTCATCCATCCTCGCTTCTACTCTATCTCCAATCACCTTCTCCATATTTGAAGACACTTCTTTGATGCTTGTATCAACGGTGTCAAACCTTGAGTTTAATTGCTTCACCAAATCCACGAATGTTTTAACAGACACATCTTCCAGAACATCGTCCTCCGCACTACCAACCTGGAACACATACACAAAAACGCATAAACAAGCTACCCAAACATCACATCAAATATAAACTCACTACATACCATATCATTTACCTTTTCTTTCTTCTTCTTCTTCTTCTTCTTTTCTGCATCTCCTTCACCAGATTCAACACCATCACTGTTGATCACATCCTTGACATTGTGGACTTTCTGCCTCTTTGCAGGAGATTCAGAGTCACCCGCTGCATTAGAATTTACATTTTTCCTCTTCTTCTCAGTCTTCTTCACCTCCCAATATCCTTTAACAAACTTATCCTCATGTATATCTCGGATCAAATTATCAAGTGCTGGGTCCTCTTCTTCATCTGGCCACGTATGAAATAGCTCTCTGACATCATCCTTCATAACCAATTTACTCACACGCAGCTATAACATAAGAGATTATAAAACCCATTAGTAAATCAATAATTATAACTCAGCCATCACTATCCAACACTAATATAACTCAGCCAGCGCATAAATCATAACTCAGTCATCAAAAACGATAACTCAGCCATCATAAAATTTAACTCGGCCATTACTAAAACATAACTCAGTCAGTAACTATCAGTCATCAAAAACGATAACTCAGCCATCACAAAATATAACTCAGCCATTACTAAAACATAACTCAGTCAGTAACTATCATAACTCAGTCAGTAACTTTCATAACAGAGCCTAAACCTTACCTCACCATGCGCTTTGATATCTTCAGCAATGGTCAATTCCATTGTTTTACGTGTACGGTTTCCACCCCAACGAAGCAACGGTATCTCATCCTTGTTGACTACTCTCCCATATCGCTCTCCAAAGCATTTGACTGAATCATACGCCAAAGCCTGTAACACGTAAACCATACCACTGACGGTGTACGTCTTTCCAACAGGCCTCAACATCTTTATAGAATTAACCAGGGCTTCAAATGCTGACCGACCCCATGGATAAGTGTTCATGGCTTCCTCATCAAAAACTCTTTTCGCACTTTCAAATGGTATTCTAGAGTTATGATGCAAGCCATACAGTCCAATGGCTTGAAGAGTCAACAGCCCCAACCACTTACGCTTTTCAGGAGTCCATGTCCTGCACACTAGTAATCCTGCCCTCAGTTCATCTAACTTTGGACCTTCACCACCAGGCACATTCAATTCACTGAAGAACGCTTTGTAGTCAGCTTTAGGTTCAAACTTTTCTGTAGGGATTGAACCTGTGTTTAACCCCGTGATATGACCAAATTCGTTCAAGCCAAACCTGATAGGTTGACCACCAACTAGAAACCAAATCTCCTTCTTGTGTATTCTTAACTGTCTACACAGTAGAAAATGTACAGTCTTACCAGACCACACGAATTGGCTTTCAGCTAGCTTAGCAATTATTCCAATAGGTGACCCCTTCAGTTCATTCCACGCATCTTGTCCTATTGATTCTATAATCCCAGGGACATCTCCCATCTTGATATTGTGATTTAACAATTTATTCTCCAGAATAGACTCCCCTTCTGCGTAAAGTCTTGGAGGGTAATCCCTTGGTTGTTCTTCAGAAATAACCTCAGCCATCTGATAAACCATAAATCAGCCGTAAGCATACAGTAACTCAGTCACAACATAAAACAAACTCAGCCACAGTTGAGCAGATAAACCATAACTCAGTCGTAAGCATAGAGTAACTCAGCCACAACGTAAAACAAACTCAGCCACACCATAAAACAAACTCAGCCATAGATGCATTGATAAATCATAAATCAGTCTAAAGCAAACAATAACTCAGCCATGGAATCGAATAGATATAACAAATTAGCCACCATATGAAAATCAACATTGGCGAAAATCAGCTGTAACAAGCGTCGATAAAAACCCTCAATTTCTTCGCGATAGTTTTCGGAAAACAGTTTCTATCACGGAAATCACTCGCTATTGAACTTAGATGCGGGAAAAATGTCGGAAAATCCAAAATAAAGATTCGACACATACCTTAAACAAGTTGAGTTGAGACGAAATGGTCCCGACTTGAGGTGAGGCGACGAAGTAAAAGGTCCCGACTTGAGTAGAGACGAAATGCGACGGAGAGAACGAGAGAGTTAAGAGTTTCGGCCGGAATTAGGGTTTCTTAGTCTTAGTCGGAATCGCGTCTCCGTCGGAGAAAGAAAAAGTTTTTTCAGTTTTTTTTTTTTCGGAGATGAACAGTGACAGAGAGGGAAATCGAAAGGGTTCTCTTAATGACGTTAATGACGTGGCTTTAATTTGTTTTTCTTTTAATGACGTGGATTAACATAATTTTCGTTAATCATTTCTTAATTAAAAATGGATTAAAAAAAAAAAAACTAATCAAGGGTGTTAATTGTAATTACACAAAGACGCTAAACATATGAGTAATTTTTAAAAAATGTATGATATTCTAGTAATATTCGAACTTTTGGTTAACATCTGAGTAAATATTTCTTTTTTAATTGTATTGATCGTCAAAAGAAGAATACGTTTATAATCTTTTATGGGCAAAGCTTTTTTTATTTGTATTTTTTGACAAAAAAAGAGCAAAGCTTTTGATAATTTACGTCAAAAGAAGAATATGTTTGCAATTTACATACAAGTTACAATGAAATAAATCTTAAGACAGATATATACAAAATATAATTTGTGGTTTGCATTCACATACAAGTTCTTTCTAGGAGAACTGATATAAAATGTGGATGCTGAGGATCGGAGCTAAGGCAGGAGATGACCCTTACTTGTCCACCACCAACAACTACCTAGGAAGGCAGGTATGGGAGTTTGATGTCGGTGCAGGCTCTCCAGAGGAACTCTCTGAAGTTGACATGGCTCGACAGAATTTCTCCGACAATAGGTCATTATACAAGGCCAACGCCGATCTCCTTTGGCGTATGCAGGTGAAACTTTTCACTGCAATGAGCATAAATTATACTAGGTATACGATATAACTATAATACGTTTTGTTTTTGGTTTCTAGTTTCTAAGGGAAAAGAAGTTCAAACAGATGATTCCGCGAGTGAAGATAGAGAATGCAGAAAAAATAACATATGAAGACGCAAAGATGGCTCTGAGAAGAGGAATAGTTTATATGGCAGCGTTGCAGTCTGATGATGGACATTGGGCAGCAGAAAACGCTGGTTGTATGTTCTTCAACGCCCCCTTTGTAAGTACTATCTTTAACAAAAAGGGCTTTCTGCCACCAAAAAGAAAAGAAACCTCAAATTCAAAAGTAATACATAATATAACGCAACTTTACCTTCCATTCCAAAAGCTGTTGGTCAATACTGCCAATTCAAAAGTAATACGTAATATAATCCATCTTCATTGTCAAGTTTGTAAATTTTTGATAAATAATACTTATAACCGTGAAAATTTTTAGAAGATACGTATAAGGGTTATATTGCGTATTATTTTATACTTCTTCGGAATGATATGGATTTTTTGGAGATAGAGGATAAATTACGAAAATTGGCGAGTTTGAGTAGAAAACCTAACTAAAATTATCGTTTTTTTAAAAAATACTAGAAAATAACCAATGGTGTAAAATAATATTAGGTCATATGCTTGTATATCACTGGCCATCTGGATAAAATCTTCTCTCCAGAGCATCGGAAGGAGATGTTGCGTTACTTGTACAACCATCAGGTACTTCCTTGACTCAATAGAATATCTCTTTAAATATTTATCTATACTAGTACTTTTGAAGTACATTTTATATCGGGTGGGTTAAAAATTTATCCGAGATTTTTGATACCCAATCCGATACAAAATTTACTTCAAAATTTTACATCATATTTTTTTAGATCGGGTCAAAACATATCCGAAATTGTGAACCAGATATTCCATATTTAAAAATATGGATATTTAGAAGATTTGGTTAAGATATAAAATTACGATTCTTCTATCATCTTTGTTTGAACTTTCTTTTAACTATTTTGAATCATCATATAATACATAAAACTAAAAAAAATTCAATTATTTTTTCTGCATATATTGGGATTCAAAATTTTAAAAACGGATATATATTACCCAATTGATGAAAAATGTGTGTATTCAACGTCCCGTATTGGCTAAAATGTTTAGACAATAATTCAGAATCAATGAATCATATTATAAAGGGCTGCCTGTAGGTGGCATTCTGTACTATAGTCGCTCAACTAGAATCACCCTGTACTATTGACCTCTACCCAATTCACCCTATACTAATTAAAATATTATTTTACAATTCGACCTAATTTTCTAATTTCTACCTATTTCAACAAATTCAATCAATCTACTTAATTGCGTTTAAAAATCATAATATCGCGATTACTGTACCGCGTTTATAATAAATCGAGTTTAAAAACCCTAACCCGACTATAATCTTATAACCCGAATTGAAACCTCTTTCTGAGCCAGAGGTTTTCGATTTCTCTTTGAAACCCAAATCGAATTGGCGAAAACTTACAAATTAGGGTCTCTATAAACTTACAATGTCGACAACCCTAATTTGTAAGTTTTCCCCAGTTCGATTTGGGTTTCAAAAAGAAATCGATTTATTATAAACGCGGTACAGTAATCGCGATATTATGATTTTTAAATGCAATTAAGTAGATTGATTGAATTTGTTGAAATAGGTAGAAATTAGAAGATTAGGTCGAATTGGAAATATTTTAATTAGTATAGGGTGAATTGGGTAGAGGTCAATAGTACAGGGTGATTCTAGTTGAGCGACTATAGTACAGGATGCCACCTACAGGCAGCCCTATTATAAATAAGATCAAAATGAATTCAACTCTGAATGAATAGAAAGCTTAACTTAACAAACACCCAAATTTAAAAGTTTATATACCGTTTAATTCCGTTTTTAGTTTAACTACTTATTTTACCGGAATTATTTTTTTTTAGACCTTTAAAAATTTTAAATAATATAATATATATATTTAGATAAAAAGTTTATAATATTATGAACATTTGATCATATATAAAGAGTTACAACAACATAGGACGGGTTATATTGAAAGACGGAGTTTTATGGCGTGACGAGTTTTTAAGAAGTTTTAAATATTATAATTTATATATTTAAAATCAATCAAAAGTTTATAATATTAAGAACATTTGAACATATATAAAGGGTTAAAATAACACGGGAATGTTATACTGCAGAACATGGTTATATGACGGGACGGGTTTGAATCAAAAATTTAAACATCATTAACCCGCTACTTCAATACGGGTTAAATCTTCATTTTATAATTTTTTAACATCACCAATATTAAACATATGAAATGATCTTGATTAAAATAAAATTGTATAAAACAAAAATCATTTCGTGGTCTACAGTTATTTAATAATTGTAAATTATAAAAGATAAATTTCTTATAAAATGATACAATTTATAATTTTTATATATAATATATAATCATTAAATTTAAAAAATTATTAATTTTAAAAACAAATCGTCTCGCGGTATACCGCGGCTTAAAATCTAGTTAGAATAAAAAGATTCAAGTTTAAATCCATACATTATTTATTTTAATTAATCTTGTCCAAAGTTGTATCCATGTGACTTAAATACTTTTTTCCATTCTTTTTCCAAAATGGATAAAATCTTATCATCAAGAACGACGATGGTGGTTGGGGAATAGACGTAGAAAGCCACAGTTTTATGTTCTGCACGGTCATCAACTACATCTGCCTACGAATTTTAGGAGTTGACCCCGATCATGATGGTACAAAAAGTCCCTGTGCAAGGGCTCGTAAATGGATCATTGACCACGGTGGTGCTACCTATACGCCATTGTTCGGAAAAGCTTGGCTTTCGGTATGTCTCATATAGAATGGCCAACTAAAGATAATACTTTCCCTTGATCATCATCTTAATTTGGTAGTACTATATTCCCATAATTAATATTTTTTTTTGTTCAAATTATTAGGTTCTTGGAGTGTATGAATGGTCGGGTTGCAAGCCCGTACCACCAGAGTTCTGGTTCCTTCCTTCTTATTTTCCTATTAATGGAGGTTTGTGTTTGAATAATTATGTATTGGTTATGATTTTATATTTTTAATTTATTTTAAATATTTTCATATATATATATACATGCAGGTACTCTCTGGATTTATCTGCGGGATATTTTCATGGCATTGTCCTATTTGTATGGTAAAAAATTTGTAGCTACACCTACACCTCTCATTCTACAGCTCCGTGAAGAGCTTTACCCTGAGGCTTATGCTGATATTGTTTGGAGCCAAGCTCGGAATCGATGCGCAAAGGTGAAGTTTAAAGTCGTATATATAACGCATAGTATGCTTATTATTTGTTGGGTATGGAGAAAATAAAGATTAACTAGCTCTTTAATGTATATTAGAAAACCAAGATTAATTGGTACCTACCAAAATGTGATGATGATGCAGGAAGATCTATACTATCCACAGAATTTGGTACAAGATTTATTTTGGAAAAGTGTTTACATGTTTTCGGAGAATATCTTAAATCGATGGCCTTTTAAAAAGCTCATAAGAGAGAAAGCTATCCGAACGGCAATGGAACTAATTCATTACCATGATGAAGCTACCAACTACATTACTGGTGGAGCCGTGCCAAAGGTAAATGATATTAGCAAGAAGAAGAGTAAACTAGAAGAAGAAAAACTAAAAAAGTGATGGTTTCTTACTAATTATATTAGGTGTTTCATATGCTTGCTTGTTGGGTTGAAGATCCAGAGAGTGATTATTTTAAAAAACATCTTGCTCGAGTCCCTGGTTTCATATGGATTGCGGAGGACGGCCTAAAAATCCAGGTTTGCTTATTTGGTTTTGTCTACAACTTATGAAATGGTGGTGACACTAAAAATTTATTAGGTTACAAGCCCCAGTCGGTTAGTTCTTGTGAACATTCAACCATTTTTTGCGAGATAACAATAAATTATAAACATAATGTGTAGACTTTTGGTAGCCAAATATGGGACACAGCCTTCGTGCTACAAGTCATGTTAGCCGCTGATATGGACGATGAAATAAGGTCAACGCTCATAAAGGGATACTCATTCTTGAGGAACTCTCAGTTTACAGAGAACCCTTCAAGTGACTATATCAAAATGTTTAGAGACCTATCTAAAGGAGGGTGGGGTTTTTCAGACAAAGATCAAGGATGGTCTGTTTCAGATTGTACTTCTGAAAGTTTAGAGGTGGGCATTTTTCTCTCTTTGAATTCCCTAGATAAAGATTTGATTACTAATTCGTATGTGTGGCTAGTGTTGCCTAATCTTTGAAAGCATGCCGTCTGAGTTCATTGGTGAGAAAATGGATGTGGAGAGGCTTTATGATGCCGTCAATATGCTTCTTTATTTACAGGTAAGTTAACTGTTGTTATTATTATATAACCTCACAAGCTGATTAACTTACAAATCTCTTAACAACAGAGCAAAAATGGAGGCATAGCCATATGGGAGGCAGCGCGTGGGAAAAAATGGCTTGAGGTGGTTTTCATTTCTTGGTTTCAAATTTCGTTTAACTTTGGATATAAAGGAATAAAACTTTCCAATTCAAATGCAGTGGCTTAGTCCCATAGAGTTTGTTGAAGACACTATTCTCGAGCATGAGTATCTAGAATGCACCGGGTCAGCAATTGTAGTGTTGGCTCGTTTCATGAAACAGTTTCCAAGGCACAGAACAAAAGAAGTAGAAAGCTTTATAACAAAGGGTGTAAAATACATAGAAAGTTTGCAAACGGCGGATGGTTCGTGGTATGGAAATTGGGGAGTGTGCTTCATTTATGCGACCTTCTTTGCTGTCCGAGGTTTAGTGGCTGCGGGAAAGACTTACCATAGCTCTGAGCCGATCCGTAGAGCGGTTCAGTTCCTTCTTAAGATACAAAATGTTGAAGGCGGTTGGGGAGAGAGTTATCTCTCTTGCCCCAACAAGAAATATATTCCTTTGGAGGGGAACAAGAGCAATATGGTTAATACAGGACAAGCATTGATGGTTCTAATATTGAGTGGTCAGATGGAGCGAGATCCTTTACTGGTTCATCGTGCTGCGAAAGTCTTAATCAATTCGCAGATGGATGACGGTGATTTCCCACAAGAGGTGTTTCTTCTTACCCTATTTTTGTTCAGGATTTTCAAAATTACTATGATATTATTTTGATCATTTATGTTATATATATTTGCAGGATATAAGAGGGGTTTACAAAATGAATGTGCTGTTAAATTATGCTACCTATAGAAACATCTTCCCTCTTTGGGCACTCACACATTACACCAAGGCTCTGAGCCTGCTCCTCTAAATTCTGATGACGACACCACATATGATACTCATTTTTCCTTTTTTCTTATTTTTCTTCTCTTTTAATTTCTTTTCCATGTAAAAACAATAATAGAGCTAATCTATATAAAAATCTTTTCTTATCGTTTAATAAAATTCATTAGAATTTTAAAAAGAAATTTTCACAAAAAGGACACAAATGAGTTTTTCTCTCACCAATTGACAAAGTGAACTTGGTCTTTCACGTTTTGACAATTTGCCAACTTTCAGACGAAATTGCCCTCAGCTACAAACGTAACATTGCTGGTTTGGTTTCTCACATTTTATTTTATTTTGTTTTATTTATTTTTAACTAAAAACAATTAAACTGAAGAAACGCAGGAGAGAAGAGGAGGAAAAATCTGGGTTGAAACCGTTTTTCAATCTTCTATCTAATCTCTCATTCTTTGTCTATTATCTGGAGAAGAGCAAAACCCAACAAAATTGCCGCGAATTCCGTTTCGAATCCTCTTTAAATCTTTCATTCTGCTTCGGTTTTCCCTAGACGAGCAAAAGCTAACTAATTTCCGGCGATTAAGATACCAGAGTACAGATGACCGGGAAAAACGAGACTATTGAAGAAGAAGAGTCGGCGCCGCTCGAATGTAATGACAAGTTCAGCGGAGAGGCAAGTGAATTTACAAGATTTATATGTAAAGAGAATTCAAAAGGTAAAAAAAAACAAGATTCTGAGATAACTGCTAATGACGGCCGCAAAATTAGGGTTGCAGAGGAGGATACTCAGGTTGAAGATGACTGGAAAAATACATTTATACCCTTCATCGAATTTCTTCTGTGTACGTATATGCAATTTACGGTGTACGTACACAAAAATATTTAGTGGAACTTATGTATATGGTTCGATATTAAAGTGGTTGTAATAAATATCAAACCACCCTCTACGAAAAAACTAACAATTAATGATTTGACTCCAAATTTGAGCTATTTTGTTACTTATTCATATATATCTCAATAAAATTCATGCATATATAATAATTAAATAAAAATATATGGTGAAAAAATATTGTTCCTCATACTTCTGAAAAAGTTATGTATGTATACGTGTAATAATGTACGTACATCTTTGTTGGTGTGTTAAATTTGTTAAGATAAATTTATTGATACAATAATAAACCAATATTGGCGATGGTGGGGGTGTATTCTACGACGCTCCTACTGGAGATGAAGCCATTGTTATTTGATTTTTTTTTTTGTTTCTAAATACACTCCCAACAAACAATGTCTCTCTTGCCATACTAATTTATATTTTTGTCTCATCAACTCGGGTATTGACTAAATCATCAAAGACTAGAACAAAATTCACACAATTACCATTCACTTTACAGTTACCATGCCAATTTGTATATGTGTACGTCAAACATTTACCGTCAGATGATTTCTCGTGTACATATTTAGTAATGTACGTACATTTTTCTAAAAATCATGTTTTATCTCATGGTTATGACTCACAAATAGTTGAATATCACCATTCTCTCCAAAATAATCGATGTTTTTTCAGTTACGTACACGTTAATTAGTATACGTACATGTTTCTAATAATCAACTGAATTTTCATGTTAGCCCCACAGTAAGTTGAGTGTCACCATCATTCCCGACATGTCATATCCCATATTTCTCAACAACAAAATCAGTCAACTTGTTGTAATGTAATCTTCGTCACTACCTTTATTACCGTTTATAGTTGTCATCTTCATCGTCCCCTTCCTCATCCTTTCTCTTTTTCGTCGTCCTCATCCTCTTTTTTCATCCTCTTTATCACTCTGTACTTCTTCTGCTTCATCTACTTCCTCATTGTTTTCACCACCGACCCATGGTCAGTTTCATCAGAAAGGTCCTCCATTTTTCTGTGTAATTATTAATTTAAAAATTTTTAATGGACGTTATGTTACATAATATTATTGGTGGATAATATATAAGATTCTAAACTAATATATAAGATTCGTAAACGTAGTGGGCTGAGTTGGGTCTTACATAAATCGTCAAAATTGAAACATCATCATTATTGAGCAACTCCACCTCACCACTTAGCAATATAGAAAAGCCATTATACACTTCGGAAGAATCATTCATTGTTAATAAATCGTACTTTGATTCAGGTAAAACCGATCTTCCAATACTAAATTGCACACCATTACCATTCATTTCAAATCTACCATGCCCATCTGTATTCGTGTACGTAAAACATTCACCTTTACATACTTCATCGGGTACCTTGTTAGTAGTGTACGTACATTCTTCCAAAAATCATATCTTACCTCCCAGTTAGGACTCACAAATGGTTAAATGTCGTAATTATTTCCAAAATGATCGATGCTTTTTCCATCATGTACACGTTCATTAGTATAAGTACATGTTTCTATTAATAAACTGAATTTTCATGCTGTTCTCACAATCGGTTTAGTGTCACGAACATCCCCGACATGTCCCATGTTGTAATGTAATCTTCGACAATACCTTTACTTCCGTTTATAGTCGGTTCTAGGATATTCCCCTACTTGACTAATCGTTTTCCATCGTCCTCTTCATCATCCTCTTTCTCTTTATCTTCTTTATTGTCATCTACTTCTTCTTCCTCATCTACTTTCTCATTGTTTTCATCCACATTTAGAGCCTCCAATGTGGTTTTTGTTGCATTTTCACCCCCAAACCATGTTAGTTTCATCAGCCAAATCCTCCATCATGCACACACTATTCACACCATCCCTAACGGATTGGACAAATGACACAAACATGTTCTCTTGTCTATGATAGTTGTACTTATCTTCCTGCAAGTCCCCACACATGGGGCAATGACACCATTTCTCTGTCACGATTACTATCTCGTCTTTCACGTACACAGCACTACATGTTTACGTACATAATCACCAATATATGTACTTGTGTATGTTAACTTCTCTAATAAGCATGTGTGTGCACCTATGTATGCTGGTATATTGTGTCAATACTGATATTTGTGTCGTCCCACAAAGTCAGAAAAATAGTTCGTACTAGGCTAAACATTAAGATATTTGGTTTGGTTTCTAGTAAGATTCTTTTGGTACATGGTACTTTGGGTAGAATGATTTTATATCCATTTCTGGTATCTTAAAATTTTGGTCCGGTTCAGTTTGGTTTCAGATATTTTTGGTTCAGTTCCGGGTACCCAAAATATTGGTAAAAGTTAAAATTTATTAAATTTAAATAAAATTCGCTTAATTTTTTTTTTGACAAATATAAGTAAAAAATTTGGATATTTTTCTGTCTTAAATAATTGACACCTAAGTGTTTATAATTGTAATCTGGGTAATTGTGATATAAATGTCTAAATATAATTCATATGTTTGGTATATAACTATATTTCGGATACCCATTCGGTTCTCAGTTTGGTTCGGATTAGGTTTTGGTTCTTCAACTATGGTTATGGTTATTCAGGTATAAAAGTTTAATTTCATTCAGATATTTTGTCAGTTTCGGGTTCAGTTCATATTTTTCGAATAGGTTCGGTTTGATTCTTTAATTTTAGGTATCCTTTTTAGGTGTAGTTCATACATGGTTTGAATGTTTTGTTTTTATGTTCAAAAAATATTTTAAACATAAATATACAAATTATTTAGATGTTTATATACATATACGCACACAAATTACTACCGTGTACGTACACATGAGTACATGATATTGTTAGTTTTAAATTATCTTCAACAATACGATTAAAATTAAGAAATAAATTATTATTCAGAGTGTAAAAATATATATGAAAATGGATCTTAAAAGATAGAAAAAATTAAATTTTAATTGAAAGTACAAAAATAATAAATATTTATAAAAATGAAAAGAGACAAAATTGTGAAAAACAAAAAAAGGTGAAAAATAATAATAATCTTATTTATTTATATTTTTCTATTTTTTAATTTTGTTTTTACACTGTAGCTAACGAGAGTGTACTGTACATAGCGCGTGTACTGTAGCTAACGATATACAGTGTACGTAACCAACTCGCCTGACGATTTCGTTCGTTGTCACTGTACACCGGTTCGGCTAGAAGGGCATTTTCGTCTGAAATTGACATAATTGTCAAATGGTGAAAGTCTTTCCCCACTTTGTCAAAACCTGAAAGAAAAACATAAAACATGGGCCTGGCCTGTAATTAACCCAATTTTAAAGAACATAAACCTACAAAAAGATGTGAAAGATGTCATTTCCCTTAAAATATTATATTTGTGTTTTTCTATTCCATGTGACACTATAAGAAATTACACATTTAAGGTCAAGAAGACCGATGATTCTTTTTTTTTTTTGGGAAAACCACGAATTTTAAATTAATGATTAAATTTGTTGTCTCAGATCATACAAAAACTATGGGTATGATTGGATGACTTTCTTGACGCAAAAAAAAAGAAGGAAAAAAATAATTACGCTGGGGTTCACTGAAAATCTATACCATTTACGATTAAAGAGAAACATTTATTGTTCCTTATTTACTCTAACTTTATACCAATCATACCCTATAGATCATTTACCCAGGGGCCAACTGCATCGGGTGAATTCAAAAGTTTAACGAGATCAGTGAATCCATATTAGCTTTCGTTATTAATATACGCCTCGCACCGGGGATGCCTCTTACCAAAACTACAGTTGGTCCGCGGAACTATCGCTCCCTCGCGTGGAAGTTCCTTTTCAGCAGAAGCTGCATCAAGAGGGGCCCTAGCCTTGGCAAGGGTCCAAAATCCGACGTCTTTCACTTCCTATCAAGGTTAGATGTCCCGCTTTTCTCCACCTTATATTCCAGAAGAGGGTTCGGAGTCTTGTACACACAACCTTTCAAGGCCTAAGTTCTTGAAAGCTTTGGTAATCGTTGTCGTTATGAATAAAGAAGTTGAATTTTAACTAAAGTTTATAGCATTGTGTAAAATATTAAATAACATGCCAAGTTCCATGCATGATCGTGATCAGTGGCCCGTCAAAATGGTCTTAGTGTTGTAAATTGGCGTTGTGACTCCGGGACGTAACGAACGTGAACTTGGAAAATGATTGAATCGCGCACGTGAGCACTTTCCTTAAAGAGTATTTTGACCCTTCTCAAGCCTTGGGTTACACGAAATCCCTTCTAGGATAAGACAATCAAAGTTCTCT